GAAGGCTGAAACCGAAGCCAAAGGCGAGGCAGAGACCCGAACTGCCATGCATCGGAAATCGGTCACGCTCCTTGTATAAATGCTTGACTTCGGATGCCTGCTCATACCAATTATAACTTATGTGTATTTTTTTTTACAACAAACATTTGTGATCCTTCACCACCAACTGGAATGTTGTCTATAGCACGGTGCTAAATAAAAAGTAAAACGCCGGCAGTCATCGTGTGCTTCATATTTCCAAGCCGCCTCCAATGGAGTCATCGCCTAGACGTCTGCCTCTAGCTGAATGTCATAGCGCATCCCCGAGCAGAGCACGCGTGGAAGAAAACAATCACGAAGCTGGTGCACCTTCCTGAGGCATGCGACACAGTCTCCACCCTCCAAGCTCGGCCCGCTTGGTCATGTCCGCACTCCTGGGACCGCCTCCTCAGGCGTCAGAAACAGGACGCGCATTGCACAGTTGTGGAATGTATGAAATGCTGACGGAATGCCACCGGCAGCTGGATGTAAGGGTCTTTACGAAGTGATCTGTCGTCCCAGAAGATCACGGCCTTCACGGGTCGCTGCCTTCAAATCGTCCGGCTACCAATACTTAATGACACACCAGATCAGCATTTGAAGGGTGCAAACAGCCGAATGCGGCTTAACCAACCGTAAAAATCAGTACACATCTTGCAGCTGACGCTCAGCATCATATACCTGATCTGATTCGTTTCGCTTCAATGGTGATTTGGCACTGAATCTGGTGAAAGTAAACCCCGGCATTGCATTTTATCGACAGTGTTCATGGACATTTGGCAGCCGCGCGAGGCAGAAAGAGTTTAGTTGTGATACCATGCGACCGGCAATAGTTGACCAATTTTGTGCTACGCATCATAGGCTCTGGCAAAAAAACATGGTGCGAAGGGCCATATGCAATGGCAGTCCACCGCATTTTATTTTCTTGTTGCGACCATTGTTGCGAGAGAAGAGAACAGATTCAGCCAGTTCCAAAGACACGTGGAGCCTTACTTTTGCCCTTGCACGCTGCAGTCAGCTGTTCATGTCACGTGTCATTTTTTTCTAATCAAACCATCGCGAACTCATGGTCTCATTGACTCCTTACTCATTCATGGTGGCCCACCTAATGCCGTAGTAACACGCGCTCGGGTAGTAGTGAATTTGAAACCCTAACGGGTTTTTCAGAACAACTTCGAACTATATGGTTTAGCTGCACTAAACTTTACAGCTGTGATCAGTTGCATCATCAATGTTTTGGTGTACAAATAACATAGACCTCGTGAGATCTCTGACCCATACGAGGTCAGTCATGCCATGGCGCAGTCAGTGAAGGCAATTCCAATGGAATCGTGTGGTGTGATGCGGTAACGGAGTGTTGGACGAAACCATTCAGCCGTATGCTGGTTTATTAGACAATAAAGCAGCTGCAGTTAGGATTATGACAGATCGCATCGACCTGAAGCAAGGAATAAAGAGGACATCAATACCAAAACCAAGCAGTTTTACTGCTTGAAAGCATGCCTTACGGTTTAGTGTTGACACATTTGAAATTTCTTAATCACCGGGACATCAACAGGCATTCTATTGTAACTTCATGAAGATCAAGGGAGGTCACAGACCTAGTATAACACCGACCAATCATTTGCCTTCATGTCATTGCCTTTTTCACCGGGCCATCAACAGGCATTCTATTGTAACTTCATGAAGATCAAGGGAGGTCACTGACCCAAGATAACACCGACCAATCTTTCGCCTTCAAGCTTGCTACATACACAAAATACTAGATGTTAAACTGTTTTAAGATGTTAAAATGGGTTTAGACGTGCAACTTTCAAGCACTCCGACTGTTTTCGCACGAGGTGTAAGCCAAGAAAGATGACTATTTGCCACTAGATATTATGGATCGCTATTTGACACATGATGTCTACAAATGCGCAAGAGTGTTACAAGGCACTTGCTGCTCCTGTCGAGGCGAATGACGCGTACAGTGACGCGCACAATGGAATGCAAATAATGGGTTCAAATCATCAGATAACGGTTCGTTCGCACTTTCAGTCCACTCTTAGGGGTGTGGTTACCGGTCTTTGCCCAACTATTTTAAACCATTTTACCGACAGTAGGTTACTCACGGAGCCACCTAATGCACACCTGAATGCGCACCTACCTCCTGCACGCGGCTAAGAGCTGTTTGTATATATCGCTACGCAGTGTTTAAATTAATGGATACGCTCTAAGGCTCGTGACTGGGACTCATCTGATATACTGACACCTCCGTGATGGCAGAGGGCGACACATCAGCCTCAGGTGAAGCCAGTTCTTTAGAGGAGTTCGGTAGACGTTTGGTGGTGGTCTGGTCAGTCTTACGTTGCCGGCAGCCAGTATGCGATGGTCGTGATCTATGCTCGGACCGATGGATAACATGTGATGCCAGCAACCGCGGCGCTTAACATAGTCAGTTCTGCTCCTGCTTGCTCATTGGTAGAACTTGTTGAGTTCTTTCCTAATGACACACACCACAACTCGCCTTCTTGCTACCCCTCGGTTAGCTCGGACTTGCGTCGAGAGCTAAGGCTGACGAAGATAATTAGGCTGAATTAATTTCGGATGGGCTGTAAACCAGATACCTCCTGCACTTATTCCCCCAATTTATTGTTGAAAGATATTGTTATTGAGTTATTATCAAACTACTTTCCGGCTGGAACACTGGCTGTACACAAGCTGGAGTATAAAAGCGAGACCCTGATCGGTCGAGGGTTTTGCATCGCGTGGAGATGTAAAGCGCCGAACCCGGCTCAAAAGACAATGCTGACATTGCTCATGGGCGCTCTTTCCTCCCTCTCGCTGAAGTTCTGTGCAAGGCTTCCCAGAAACAGTTCCTACGCTGCCAGAGTCCATTCGGTGTAGTGTAAATGTATTTTCCTCTAGAATTACAATAATGCAGACGAGACAGTTTCCTCAGGAATGACGTGGCTGCGTCCGGCACATTTCCCCATGGTGGGAAGGTGGCGCTACGCTGCGAGCTTCCTCACTAGACTGAGTTATCCGCAACAAACCGACGATCAACAGCATGCGTAAGCAAGAACGAGGTGAAACGGCCACCTCACCACAGCCGTGATCCATCCGGGGGATTGGTGTGCGTGCTCACCGACTGACGTTTCTGACTGGTGACGCGATACGCCACTGCTAGCGCTGGGAAGCGATACCGTCCTGGGCTCTACAGGCTATGGGCCCGTCAAACCTCTAGCGAGCGGGGGGGGGGGGGGGGGGGGGGGGAATCGGCATCCCCAATTTGAAGTGCACCATTCATTTTAAGCGGTAAATTTCCAAGTCCTGAAAAAGTAACGCCTGATAAGATTTATATGCAAAACGTACCTCCAGCGTTAAGGTATCTGCTGATTGTTTTGGACGAGCTTGAAGCCATGTCACCGACTTTATTCATTTTATTATATATATATATATATACATATATATATAATACAAAATTTGTATAGCAATAACTGTTTAAAGGTACTATTAATGCTACTGAACCCAATCAGAATATCCTGATTGGGTGAACTGAACACACATACACACACACACACACATACACACACACAAACACACACACACACACACACACACACACACACACACACACACACACACACACACACACACACACACACACACACACACACACACACACACACACACACACACGCGCGCGCGCGCGCGCGCGCGCACAAGGACAAGATCCCAAAAGTTCCTTTCAAATCAGTGCGTCATTTCGGATGCAACTCGAACAAATTACCCAAGCCTGGTGCAATTCTTGACGTTATTTATGCACCATTTTAGGCGGAGAATGCGTTTAGAAACATGGGCACAAACATATTTAGGTGAAACTGCGGTGGAATTTGGCCATGCTGCAGCCCTTCACAGAAAGTGGATTGAGCAGTGTCCCAAACGTCGTGGCATACAAGGCATGTATTTTCCTTGCAAATTTGGTGACTGTTGTCAAAATAAAAGCAGTTTCTAAAGAATAGACAAAGTACAGTATTTACCTATGACTTGCAGGTAAATATTGTATGACAGTACATGGTAAATATTGTATGACACGCTATGACAACTATGTCATAGCGTGATATTACACAGTACTGAGCATTGATTTTGAACATAAGTGAAGCCACCAGCTATAGCTTAATTACCAATAAGATGACAGGATGTCAATAGATTAGGAAAACTCATGGGATTCACCACATTCATAGCAATCAGGTTCTTGAGGTTCTTGAGGTTCAAACTTGAGGTTCATCTTAAAATTGGAACAGCCTTGCCAACCAGTGGTCTGGTTTTCATACATATCCAAAACACTTCGTACAGCGGCACAAATGGATCCTTAAAGATTCTTTGGAAAATCTTAAAGTACGCTTCTGCAAGACTTCCCAGCAAAAGCACACCTTTAAAATTTAAACCCCAAATTTAAATTTAAATCCCCCATTTAAATCCGGTAGCAAAGGTAAAACATTTTACCCACAAAACAAAGCAATATCCCTCATTGCAAAAGATTGGTCATGCAACACGTAGACATGTCAGCCCATAAACATTTATGCGCTTATGCAAATAAAAAGCCGCAACGTGATTACATGTTTATCCATGGATTCCCGGGTCCTATTTGCACATCGACTGGGATAGAGAAACGTCCCAAGCTACCTTCGGTCATCATTTGTTTACCAGTCAAAACCCGTATCACATCACACCATGACGCACGAGCTCCTACGGCTTACACTGAGGCAGGTACCGCCCGCCGTGTGCCAGGACTGCCGCTCCCTACAAACGCGCGCCGGGACTGCCGCTGCCGACCAACGCGCGCCAGGACTGCCCATTCGCGAATTTGCCGTTTCGCGGCGGCAAATTGGCGGCCGTCGCCGGCCCTTGACCTTGCGCTAGCGAGGACAGCCTTTCGGTGTCGGTTCCCGCTCGCATGTATAAAGGTAGCCCGGCTGGGCTCCCAGGCACAGTGCCCCTCTCGGCTCAGGATGAAGCTGCTGGTAAGGAGCGCTGGCTAGGACAAGGGAGGACAAGGTAGCTCCGAATTTTGCTTGCTGTTGGTCGCACAACGTTTTGTGCTCAAAAACGAAAAGATGTTTACACAACACATTCAGCATCGCTCGGTGTGCTCTGCAAACTCTCGCCTCGGGTGGCCGACTCTCGCGGCTTCCTTGCCTTCAACGGTCGATGGTCATGCTACTTGCAGTTCTTCACCACCGCTAAGGCATTCTGTCCGTGTGCACGCCGTCCATAAGTTGCCACGCCAGTTGTGAGGCGGGCACCTGTCCGTCGGGCCGATAATCAGCCTGCTGGCCTCCTCCGGCAGGCTATCGTCGTCACCGTGCTGGCTGCGGCCTCGGTGGGCAGCGCAGGCGGCGGCTACGGCCACCATGGCGGCTACCACAATCAGCACTACGGGTGAGCGCCCACCGAGCGCGACGGTGTAGCACTGACGGCATGACCAATGGGGCCGAATGACCTAACGTGCGCCGAAGACTATCGGCAGCGCTGGTGGGACACCGGGGAACGAGAACTGAGGACTGTCGGGGAAGGGGTGGGGGAGGGAGGGGACGAGAACCGAAGGAGCGCAGAAAACCGAAGACAATCGGGGACAGACCAGGATGTGAGTGAGCACCACCGCTAGCGTTACCTGCGGGATGCTGGTAAAGCTGCTCAAGTTGCCCACCTGAGTCTGTATGAGTTTACTACAAAAGGCGATCTGTAAATGATGTCAGCATTCAGTGGATGATCGCAACCACCACTAGGTGACCTCAGTGGTCATTAGGTCTCTTCAGCTGGCACCGGAGGGTAAGATTGTTCTATAGATGACCATGTTCAGCTATCCTTTATTGCTTCATGGGCATGTCAACCGGTCCCACTTTGAGGCGACTTATCTCGCTCGCGATCTCGCTCGGCACCCACTGCCTTGTTACCCAAGACGTCCTGTTGCGTTTTTGGACGGCTTTATAGCTAGAGAAGACGTCCGACCAGCCCATGTGATACCATTTCCGAGTCACGTGGCACCATCTATCAGATTTCGGCACCATTTTTCGACACCATTACAGCCGCCATCAGTCAGTACATCCCATTCTGAACCAAGCGACTCCATGTGGTCCAAATGCGCCAACAGAGATGTCCACCGCCGGTGTTGCTAAAACCTTTGCCACTTCCAGATACGAGAAGGTGCGCACCATTGTCAAGCACCACCCGTACCCGGTGGTGAAGCACGTGCCGTACCCGGTGGTGAAGCACGTGCCCGTCTACAAGCCCGTGTACAAGACGGTGGTGAAACACGTGCCGCAGCCGTACCCGGTGGTGAAGCACGTACCCGTCTACAAGAAGGTGCCCGTGGTGAAGCACGTGCCCGTCATAAAGCGGGTGCCGGTGATCAAGCGGGTGCCGGTGGTAAAGCACCACTACCATGTGAAGAAGGTGCCCGTGCACGTGCCTGTGTACGTTCAGAAGCCCAGCTACGGTCACGGCTACGGCGGTGGCTACGCTTACCACTGAACTGGCCGGCTATAAGCAGTGGCTGAAGCAGAAGTCACGTACCGTCAACGTGTTGTTTGGTTAGCACATACTTAAATGGGTTTAAGGCATGGGCGCTTCTCGTCCGGGTTTTGTTCCGAAAAATTAGGCCCGCCGCTATTTACGGGTCTTTAGGCCCGCCGCTATTTACGGGTCAGTTGAGGTTTCGAAAGGTTTCGACCGGTGCAAGGGCTTCGAAATTATCACGCGCATTAAAGCTCAAAATGAAATACGCTGCAAAGCCAGCGTCTAGCAAAAATCACACCATACATTGAATACAATGTTTTTTCGGGCTATGGAGGCCAACAATTATTTTAACGGCTCAGTGCGGTAATAAGTATTACAAACACAACCTGGGCTTTCTTGGATTTGTGTGAATGTTGGAAAGGTCGCTTTGTGAGTGTACCAGCGCACGCCTGGCGTCTTCTCGGTACTGTTCCTGCGTCTGCATGCCTAATGTCAGGAGACATTGATGGCGTGCACAGCTAGCCATTTAGACGGTCAACTCGTGAAAACAGTACACAGTTCCAAGGGCGTCAATGCGGTATCTTTCCAGCCCATGCCACCCGTTTTATACGTTGACCTTTATGTCAAGGAGTGTCTTTAAATGACTTACGCGTTTCGACTGTGTGGAAGAAATACACGACTGATGTTGTGATGCGCTTGCGATTTGTGTACGCAGATACGACCCTCGTCTGATCGGAAGGACTAGGCATCACAGTGGGGTACCGTCTGATCAGAAGGACTAGGCATCATAGCGGGGTAACCATCGTGGCGAGGAGCACTGGAATGGCGCCGCGTCAAGATCGGGCGAATTTCAGTGTATGTTGGTGTCGTCATTACCTCGCATGCCATGCTGTGTTTTCAATCATGATAGTTCAATATGCTGTAAACCAAATTCATGAACATGCAAGCCTCGCTCGTAGCATTCCATAGGCAGCTACACATGCTGTACGGGGAAGTTAGAGATAAAACGCAAGAGCTGTAGGTCATTGCAGGCATGCAAGAGAAGCAGTAAGCAGTTTTGTTGATAATTTACTGCAGTAAGGGTTTCGTGGGTCTGATATGTAAACAGTTTTACCAGTTATAAATTCATCTCGGCATCTGAACTTTATCTTGAACTGCTTTTGTTGTCGCGTTCGTTCAAAAACTAAAAAAAATTGAGACCGTAGGACCAGTTGTTGCACTACAATGAATGCAGAGCAATGGGTAATGTTTTACGCCATGCTAGTTGGCCTTTCGGCTCCCTATGCAATATGCTGTTGTCGAAATGCTGTGCCGCAATGCTCTTAAGCGATCGGTGTATCGGTTTCTAATCTAAAGCTCACGACGAAGCCCAGGCTCGACAAAGCACTGCGAAAGGCTAGCTGCTGGCAAACTAAGAATACCAATTGACCAAGACCAAATGCCGTTCAACATGACCGGATGGCTTTCGACGAAGTTGTCCCTAAGGCGAGGTGTAGGAAGGGCACCGAAGAGTTTTAGTGGGATCTGCTAAGATTTTCCAAGGCGTGTCCATGAACAGCCTTTAACATGCACTACAGCTGCATTTCTTGTGACGATACTGATAGCCAACCTGTCGTTATGAAAATAACATGCATTCACTTTTGTGGGGCTGTTCGATGACAGCAGCACTGCTCTCATATTCTACACTACACTTGTAGAAACACAACACTGCTTTTGTGGCACTGAATTACGCAATAAACACTAGCCCTGTATAAAATGCGCGATATTTACTGTTCACCAGTTCGGGATCTCACTCCATTCTGGTCTGCCAATCTGCCAAACTCCTGTCGGACCAAGAATACAAAAGCTTTTACAAAAAACTGTTGCACTGAAACCTCCAGCATATTATTTTTTGCAGTTGCTACGGCTACTTCATAAAAAGGCGGACATGAAAAAGTGGCGAGTAATCAAATTTTAGCACAGAAGAAGCAAATACTGCGAGTCTTCGTTACTCCACCTTATTACGAAATGGTAACCTCGATCTGGTTAACCGGTAAATAAGTGACAACTGGCGAATATCCCAACAAATCTGCACGTGCCACAGGTCCTACCAACCGTTCCACCCGAACCTTATAATAACACAGCACTTATTTAAAACTTAATGCGATTAAACATGAAGTCATGTCACTTAACATTTCAACGTAACGGCTTAACAATTCATCAAATTTGGCTCTATTCAACAAACGTAATAAAGCTGTAACGTCCTTTCTGATGCTCATGCTTCATCACTCATTAGAAATAAGCGCAGAAAGAGATGCATTTTGACCTCCTCATATAGGTAAATTATGACGCGTCCTGGTCAAAAGGCAGCGCAGGAACTCTAGGTAATCCATGTTATCATGGTGCACCTTGCATCCTGGCTCTTGCTCGATATGGGCAGGCAGTATGGTAACACCCGTTCCCATTTCGCTACGGAGCTGCACCCACTCTAGTGTTACTGGATGTGGCCAAGGGCTGGTATGGGTGAGCTGCAGTGCATGTGAAGCTGAATGGAAAGGTAAAGGTGATGGTAGTGCCTAGGTAAGGTCAAAGGTGGGCTACGGTGCAACTGGGAGAGATATGCTTTTTGAGGTAAAATAGCCACAATCATGTACCGTTTATAAGCACAGGGTTGGCTGCTTTTGACAAAAACGCGGTTAGCTCTAGCAATCCGATAAACACAGAACAATGATTTGTGTACGGACTTTAAAAAGTCTTAAATCGGTTTTTGGGGCTTCAAGCTCGCTTCCTTTACTCTTTTTAGAAAAGCAATAATTCGATTAATGATTCTAATGTAGTTTGCACACGAAGTAATCGATCCACTTACGACCCAGAAAAATATGCGGTCGGTTAATCACTAACCTATTCATAAGTCGAACATAAGCCTAATAAGGAAACACATAAGTTTTCTGAAGTTGTTATGTTCTAGATAAGAAAGGGGTTATCTTAATTGTGCCATTTCGCAAAGTTCGTGTGATCATGTTTACGTAACACTCAGGGGTGTAGTTTCCTTTATAGTTGGGAGGCGGACGGTGGGGGAGCTTTAACTCATGAAACTTGGGCTCGCCCAATGTTTAGAAAGAGATGGCTCAAAAAGAGGAGAAACACGTTTATTGGCGTTAATTTTTGGGGTTAAGTCAATTATCACTGTTAAGCCCCCCCCCCAAGAAAAAACTGTTTGCGAAACTACACCATGTTAGTTACACCATGTTACACCATGTACACCACTACTGTTAGTGCTAAGCATTCATATATGGCTTGATCTGACAATCTTTAGTCGAATGTTGCGTTTGGCAAATATTGGCACCCCCAAATCAGCATTCGCTTAACAGAAGTAGCATGCATGGAATCCCCTATAATGAGTAATGTAATGAAATTCCCTTCATCGGAGTATCGTGCCGGAAATTCCCGTAATTGGAGCATGAGTAATAAAGCCTACTTGGAACACAGGATACGAGAGACGTGCATCATTGCACGCTCCAATCCATACATAAGTTGATGTCCTAGTGCTGCTGCTATGTTAAAAACTCAATGGGTCTGCGGTATTAATGTTTTTGCCAGTTTTGCCATCTCAGTTTTCGAGTGATTGGTGTTTCCGAAGTTTTTGCTTTGCTTCCTGTATGTTCTCGCTTTTCTTAAGAAAGGGATTAAAAATTGCGGTCCTTGCAGCGACTGCTAAACTCAAATGACCAGCCGTGTGGAGAGCAGTGTATGCTCAATATGTAACAGTATGCAAGTTCTAGATACAATGTTCAGTGCAAGAGATAATGTATGCTATTTTTTATCAACACCTATATACTGTTACGCTTGTCGCAAGGGAGGCAGTTGTGATGAATTTCATATGTTGATCCCAGACACACCTTGGAAAATCTTCACAGATCACATTCCAAACTTTTCGGCGTTTTTCCGGACCCGATCTCAGGAAGAAACTTCGTCGAAAGTTATGCTGTCATGTTTGCCGGCATCTGACCCTGGTAATTTGGTGTTTTTAGTTTTGCCAGCAGCTAGCAGTTTGCAGTGCTTTGCCGAGCCTGGGCTCCGCCGTGAACCTTAGACTAGCACCAGCTGCACCAGTCGCGTCTGAGCATAGCGACGCAGCACTTCGCTAACAGCGTGTTGCGCAGGGAGCCGATAGGCCCATACACGTTGCGCAAGGGAAAAATTTACCCTCTGCTGTACGTTGGTTCTTGTGCAACATCTGCTGCTGCAGTCCGATTCTCCTTTCGTTTCCCAACGAACGCAAGAGAACAATACCAGACCACACCTTAAGTATGGTGTACAGGCTTGGTCCCCATGCTTCACAAAAAGATGTAGATAGGCTGGAGAGAGCACGGTGAAAAGCAGCTAGAATGAAAAAATGGGACTGGCAAATTATAGCATAAGGATGGGCTAAATGCCTTGGATCTACATTCACGGAAATATTCTGAGAGGATCTGATAGAGGTACTCAAGATTACGGAAGAGATAGGCAAGATAGATCTACAGGGAATGCTGGAAATTAGGCCGAGACTTAGAACCAGCTTCAATTAACAAAAGATGGGAGTAGAACTATGAAGAGGCAGATGTCACTTAGTCAAAAAATGGCGAATCATTTGACTGCCAAACGAAGTTTTAACAAGTCCCTTTCTGGCAACATTGAAAAATCGTTCGGACAAGTTTTATCGGTCTAAGGATCTCATTTATAACTAAATTCAGACAGGACAGGTGGTAAGTTTACTGTCAAGTATGAGTGCGGAACCTGGGGTAGGTCAACCTTGATGGGTCCCTGTGGCTCTTTGTTGGCCTGATGTCCTTACGTCTTCACAAAGCAACAAAAAAGTTCAGATAACGAAATAAAATAAACCTGGTAGAATGTTTTGCGTACCAGAGTCACCATGCCAAGGGAGCCTTATTTACAGTGAATTGTCAACACAACTACCCACTTATTACTTGCATGCCTACAATGGCCTATTTCTCACGCACTCTACCTCCAACTTTCCTGTACGGCGCGTTTAGCTGCTTATGGAATGTTACGAGTGAGGCTTGCATGTATATGCATTCCGCTTTCAGCGTACTGATTTATCATGATTGAAAACACAGCATGGCATGCAAGGTAACGACGAAACCAACATACACTGAAACTTGCACAGATCTTAGCGTGGCGCCATTGAAAAATGATCACCTCGGCCGCCGTGCCTCACCATTTTATCTCAGTATTCCGCGCCAGTGCTCATCGCCACGGTGGTTACCCACTATCATGCGTAACACTTCTGATCAGACTGGGATCGTGTCTGCGTACACAAACCACATTCGCGCCACAGCATCATTCTTGTATTTCTTCCATACATCCCAAACGCGTAAGTCAGTTGAAGACACTCTGTGGCATAGAGGTAACCATACACAACGGGTGACAATGACTGGGAAGTTATAGCATGTGAGGTTCTTGAAGCTCTGTACTGCTTTCGCAGGTTGACCGTCTAAATGGCTGGCTATGCACACCATGCTTGTCTCCTGAGATTAGACATGCAGACGCACGGAAAGTGGAGAGAAGGCGCAAGACGTGCGCTGGTTCACTCATAAAGTGACCTTTCCAACATTCACGCAATTACCAAAAAGCCCAAGTTGTGTTTCAGTGACACTTAATACTGTACTGGGCCTTAAAAATGTCTAAGAAAGAAAAAAATAAACTAAATGCAATACCAGTGACAATTCCAAGCCTTCGTACCGGATTAAATCCTTGGAAGAACACCGATTGACTCCCAGAGACCTGCAGGTCCAATTTTTGAAAGAAAAAGGCATCGGACAAGAAGCGCCCGTGCCTTCAACACAGTTCAGCATGTAGTTAGCCAAACAACAACTTGTCGCCACGTGACTTTCCATTTAGCGGGTGCTTACAGCCGACCAGCTCAGTGGTGGCCGTAACCGTAACTGGGCTTCTGAACGTACACAGGCACGTGCACGGGCACCTTCTTCACATGGTAGTGGTGCTTTACCACCGGCACCCGCTTGATCACCGGCACCCGCTTTATGACGGGCACGTGCTTCACCACGGGCACCTTCTTGTAGACGGGTACGTGCTTCACCACCGGGTATGGCTGCGGCACGTGTTTCACCACCGTTTTGTACACGGGCTTGTAGACGGGCACGTGCTTCACCACCGGGTACGGCACGCGCTTCACCACCGGGTACGGGTGGTGCTTGACAATGGTGCGCACCTTCTCGTATCTGGAAGTGGCAAAGGTTTTAGCAACACCGGCGGTGGGCATCTCTGTTGGCGCATTTGGACCACATGGAGTCGCTTGGTTCAGAATGGGATGCACTAACTGATGGTGGCTGTAATGGTGTCGAAAAATGGTGCCAGAAAGTGACATATAGCGATAAATCACCCCAAAATGGTGTCACATTCGCTGGTCGGCCGTCTTCCCCAGCTATAGAGTCGTGGAATAACACAGTGAGATGTCATGGGGCGACAGGACGGTGAGTTAAGGGAACGAGCTAAGTTGCCTCAAAATGTGACCGGTTGACATGCGCTTGAAGCAATAAAGTACAGCTGAACATGGTGAAAGCCAGTTGGGAGCCCTAACTATGTGTCATGAGGAGCGCAGCGTTGTGTATTATTACTCGACTGTGCTGTCACTGTGCTGAAGTCCATACTAAAAAATAATTTCCAACAACTGGGGTCACCTAGCAAACAATTTTACGTTCCGGTAATAGCTAAGGAGATCTAATTACCACTGAGTTCACGTGATGATGACTGAGGTCATCCACCAAAGACTGCTATCATTTCGAGATCGCCTTTCGAAAATAACTCACCCAGGCTCAGGGAAAACTTAACCAGCTCAATATGCTGTCGCTGACGCTTGTGGCGGTGCTCACTCACATCCTGGTCCTGGTCAGTGGTCTCTAGACCCACGCTTTGCCAGCAGGACCACCTTTGTGGTCTGTTGCAACCTACTGCTCTTGCGTTGTTTTTTGGGGGAGTGAGGGGTTGTCTGATCTCGATGATAAGGTCCTCTGACGTCATCGCTCCTACCGTCAATGCTCCGGTGAAAACCTCCTCATCCAACCTCATCACTTTCCGCAATAATCTTCGGGTTTCCCCCTACCTTTGGTCCTTGTCCCCCCCCCCTCCCACACACCGACAGCCCTCATGATTTGTTTCCCTGACGCCCCATGAGCGCTCACCCGTAGTGCTGAGTCTGGTAGCCGCTATGGTGGCCGTAGCCGCCGCCTGCGCTGCCCACCGAGGCCGCAGCCAGCACGGTGACGACGATAGCCTGCCGGAGGAGGCCAGCAGCCCTGATCATCGGCCCGACGGACAGGTGCCCGCCTCCATGGACGGCGCGCACACGGACAGAGTACCTTAGCGGTGGGGAATAACTGCAAGGAGCATGACCGTCGACTCTTAAGGTTCAAGGCAAGAAAGTCAACAAAATCGACCGACAAAGGCGAGAGTTTGCAGATAAACGCCGAGCAAAGCTGAATGTTTTGGGTAAACTTTTTTTGTTTCTGAGCACAAAGCGTTATGCGATCAGCGGCATGCAAAATTCGGAGCTACCCTGTCCTCTTTTGTTACAAATGGCAGCTGGCTAGTAAGTTTAAGCCAATAATGAAAACCTCATCCCCTAAATCGAACTCTTCCAGACAAAATGTGGCGCGCTCCTTACCAGCAGCTTCATCCTGAGCCGAGAGGGGCACTGTGCCTGGGAGCCCAGCCGGGCTACCTTTATACATGTGAGCGGGAACCGACACCGAAAGGCTGTCCTCGCTAGCGCAAGGTCAAGGACCCACGACGGCCGCCGTCGCGAAACGGCAAGTTTGCGAGCGGCCAATCCCGGCCTGCGCTGGTCGATGGCGGCAATCCTGGCGCATGGCGGGCGGCTGACTACATTAGTGCACGTCGCAGAAGCTCATGTATCATGGTGTGGTGCAAGACCATGGGTTGAGAGGTTTTTGACCCGTAAAGCGATTGATGACAAAAGAAAGATAGCCACATTTTTTTATCACCTGTCGTGCGTGAATCTAAAATTGGGGATCCATGGGTTGCTTGCGATCACTACCAGACTCACTCATTTAAAGGCTATGTGCTTATATATATATATATATATATATATATATATATATATATATATATATATATATAGGCATAGCCATGAATGTTCTACCTATCTAGAACACCTTGCGCATTGTGGATTGTGGATTGAATTGTGGATTGCGAATCAGCGGGTCGGACTGAGCCGGATCAGAACTTTGCGCCCAAATATGGATGAGGACCGGAACAAACTTTAAAATTTGCCACATCACACGAGTTGAACGGATTGTTGCCAACCAAATGGAGCTAATCACTAGATGGTCCATGAACTGTTCAATGGAGACCAACTTTCAAAAGTGCCTGTAACAGTAACATACCGTAGTTCTAATTCCAAGCAATGCACAATCGAGGTACATAGCACATAACTCAGCAACGCATGGCACACGAATGTTCTGATGAACATATTACATTGACAAGATGAACGAATGAATGAGCGACACACATGTACATCAGTGGAAAACTAGAGATCTCATTCCTTTCAAAGTAACTAGAATGTGCAGTTACGCAATAACATATCTCATCAAAACATTTCCACCATTCCTCCTGATGTTGTCAGCTATCCCATGTAACCCCAGTGGTTGACATCGCATTTTAGCGTTTAAAAACTAGGCAAAAACATGTTTTGTTAGTAGAAAGCATGTCACAAAGTTCTTAAATCCCAGCTAACGTTTAAAAGTAAAGAGGTTTAACCAATGACATCGCTTTTGTTACTGTTCACCACAACTGTCAGCCCAATGTTTTAATTCAACACCACCTTCAAACTAAGCCTATCGCGAAAACTAACCTATTTCTAAGCTATGCCAGACTAAAGTTGGTTGTATCCTCACAAATTATTCCCCAAGACACACACCACTTTAGTTATCTCACAGAACGGGCATTTTGCTCTTCACAATCGGGGACGAAAAGAAACTTCCGCACTTGTCGTTAGCTAGGTCTTTATTGATTAATTCGCCTTCCTGTGATTCTCCTGTAATCATTTAGATGGTCCGAGACGCTTTACACAAAAAGCCAGACAACTAACAAGGGTGAGTATGCCGTACAAGACCGTCCATTCAGGCCTCAAATGAAGATTTGGTGATGTCTGAATAAACGTGGGCGATCATCGGGGCCCAGGGCAAGTGGCTAGTGAGATTTTAATGTTCCAGCGGGCGTGACGCCAATAATTATAAATTAGTTTGTTTCATCCTCTCAAATGCTTGCTTCATTGTCTTCAAATGAGGCACGTAACCTTTATGAAAAGGTGAGAAATGATACACAGTATAATCTGAATATAGTCGGCCATATCAGATGACAACTACACAAACACTACTCTCGCACTGCTACAGAACACGAACCTGACAAAGCTGACGACAACCAAGTCAGGCAAATCAAACTTTTTGATACAGGAAGTATGCACAACGCCCTCTAAGAATTAAAAAGCGTTTTTCTTGGCATTGTATCCAAAAGCTTGTGCATCTGCTAGATCTTGGGAAAAATCAAACTACTGATTTTAAACAAAACTCCAAATGTATCTGGCCTGATCACAACCAACAGCTAAGCACGAGACACATCCGCGGTCAGGCCTCTCAGGGCGTGGACGAGTTCTTGTGTTTCCTCGGCGACCCTACACGTAACAACAACTCATCCTACATTGGTCATTCATGATCACTATCTCGCCGTATCACCATGTGTCTGCACAATGGCGCTCACGACATAACACACAAGCCTAGCGCGTGGCTAACGAGAACCCCGGAACATCTTGGTCGATGACACCACTATCGTGGCCAAGTGTCAGGGCCTTGAACAGGCCAAATGCACAGACAAGAAGAAGCTTCTGACATCAGAGGCGGTAAATATTAGACGCCGGCATCACATCATCAGCCGGCCAATTAATATGAGAGGTAACTGTCTTTACATGACGGGGAACCCCTGTTATCCAAGCAGGAGCATGAACGTTCGATTCTTGCAAGGTATCATACAATATGTGGATGGCATGAATAGCCATCTTGCATGTGCATCATTGTATATCCTGCATGCATGTGTATGTGTATTTTTGTATGTGCTCCTGCATGCGTAACATTGTATGCGTAAGAACTCGTACACACTGTACACCTTAATCGCTGTCACAGCTACAATGAATACGTGAAAAGAAGTTTCGCATTTTTAGAGGCACCTTCGCATTTAGGATACTTTATCTTGCGCGTATTCTAGAATTTTCACTGAAGCCTATTGGAAGTCGTAGGAAAACCATTATGAATAATCCACCGATGCGAGACGCTGGCGAATGCGTTATATAGCGTTTTTGTACATTTTTCGTATGCCTGATGGTGTAACTGGAATTAATGAAACGTCATGCGATGACAACGTTGGTGAAATCCTATCGCACTTTTGGAATCGTCGTGGTACGGTTGTGATGAGCCTAGAAAACCTCGGCAACAAACAAGCAGATGCCCAATATGCTGTTATCTTGATATATATATATATATATATATATATATATATATATATATATATATATAGAAGACCTCGGATATATAGCAGTAAAAGCTTAATGGCTAGGATAGCAGTCGCTCTCCTTTACGTCTCAATCGGTCAACGTTTTGATGCGCTTAAACATTATCGCCAGAAAATGACAAGTACATTAAAATGAGAAAACAAACCTATGTCTAATATGCTGTCCTATATGTTAATGTTATACGTACGTACGTCTAATATGCTGTCCTATATGTTAATGTTATACGTACGTACGTCTAATATGCTGTCCTATATGTTAATGTTATACGTACGTACGTCTAATATGCCGTCCTATATGTTAATGTTATACGTACGTACGTCTAATATGCTGTCCTATATGTTAATGTTATACGTACGTACGTCTAATATGCTGTCCTGTTAATACGTACGTTTAATTTATCCATACCTGGTTCACGTCATTCATGGTCTTGGTTGGCACTTTATGCAAAACGAGCACAATGCTGGATTGCACAGAAATGGGGGTGGTTAAAAATAATACAAAACACCTGAAATACCTTTTTGACTAAGTATGAGAAAAACATCTACCTTAAAAGTTGCAAAGGATACAAAGACCACATGATATTCAACGCCAGTTTTTTTGGTGAATGTAAAATGAATCTGAAATCCTGTGATATGGAGTCAAAAAGGATCTTATTCACGTGATTTGACATCATTTTTGCAACCTGACCAACCTGTGTGATCATTAGTGTAAAGCCCGTCGTGCTTAATTGTGCAAACCGAGATCATGGCGATGACTATTTGTACGACATAACATAACGATGTTTGTCACATGTAAGCTTGCTTCCCATTGTGCATGACATGTCGAAGTGATTATACATAAGCGCATCGAAACGCTGGCCGATTGAGGCACAAATGACAGCGACTGCGACCCTGGCCATCAAGCTGGTATTCCTACTTACATATATACTCGCCGTGCACCTCACGGAGAGGCACCAAAAGATCAGAGACGAGACGTCCATTGTCAAGGCGTTGGCAAAGTGGGGTCAAACTGACCATTCCGGGGCCTTTTCCGGAATGATTTCCGGACGACGCGGCGTAGTCGCTTCACATTTTACATAGCTGTAGACTATTGAATTGCAGATCGTGTGATACCGGAAAATCAGATGTACCTTGTAAGGTTGCTGACCTACCGCAGGTCAAAACCATGCCGTGGATTCAGCGAAGTCATTGTCTAGGGGATCGTTCAATCTGATCAACAACGGAGTGTTAGACCAAGCCATACATCTCTGAGATACTTTCTTGGGCAACACAAGGATTAAATGTCGAAATTCCTCTGACCTAGGGCCAGGAATAGTGGTCAGACCAATGTAAAAACCAACCTGTTTTATTATTCTAGGGCTTGCTGTATCAGGTAGTTCCTGGTGCTCATTTCGAATTGATTGATGACAGGAACCGTATTGGAAATACTCCATTGACTTCTTTAGGTCATAATAGGTCACTGACCTAAAGTAACGGAAGTCAAAATTTCGTTTTTAGGAACACACTGCCTAGCGTAATCTTTTTGCTTACTCAAACGCAAAACTCGAAGCAGTCTTCTATGATTCTGGTCACCACGGCCTTCAAAAGGTCAAGCAAGGTGACTGACAATGAATGAACACGTGCCATTCTGCTTAGATTAGGTGTCTAGGTTCTGGGGACACTTTGGAAACCAGATTTTTTATCTCCATGCTTTCGGACAAAATCTGCAAAACGAAACAAAGCCTGAAAGAAAGGTTAAAAAACGCACAAGCGGTGAAGGTAAACCGGAGCTACAATCATTGACAGCCCTGTGAGAGACACGTCACAATTCAAGTTGCATCAGTGAGCATGACTGCTCCAACTTCCAAAGGATCCGTTGAGGGATGAATCACGCGTGAACCATCGAGTGAAATGACAAGCTGCTTGCAATCAACGGAACAGAAAAAAAAAACAGAAAATGATTTGAACCTGCTTGTTGTAGTTTTTTGTATTCACACCAACCGACATGGAAAATGATCAGAAAATTAGGTTGTCATAAACGCGACTGGGAGATCTGGAATTTATAACGGCAGCTGGAGCGATTTGTTAACAGTTTTTGGAATGCATAATAGCTCTTTAGCTACAGTGAAAATTTCAAGAGAAAGACGTAAGAGCCAAGCATCGCTGATTTTGCCTCAGTAGGCAGATGATCGACTAATTTCATGAAATTCATCAACTGCCTTGGAATGTTCCATGACCTTCGGCACATGACTATGTGGCGCGAAATCAATAGGCACTAAGGGCGTCGTTTATGTCACATTCCAATTCATACCATTCCATGGGTTTACGATTGGTCCTTGGAACAAATATATCATGTCCAACTCTGTCTCATGTCCTAGGACATGTCCAAGGACTCGCACTGTCCAAAAACGGCGGGTAAAGGCCGAGTGATCAGCGAACGGGTCCCGTTATGGCTGTAAGCAACTGACCCCATGTCACGTCACGGAAAGCTCGCTCACCGATTAAGTTTGTTTTCCCTGACCTACCTACGTCCGGCGCAGTCAGCACATCACATCCCGTTCCAATCAGGCATCCCGGTTGCCGGAGGTCAGATCGGTCAGATATCCTGTGAATCTCCCTATGAATCCCCCTAAGCCCCCTATAAATGATGTTGAATGCATTCCGAAATGATGCAAACGTATATCGTCCAAAGGACGCAACAGGTCTTCGCATGCTTTTCCGTGGGGTTAGCTCCGTCATTCAGCGAAGCAAGCCCCCAAGCACTTGTATACTCCATCTGATTACCCACTTCATTTAATGAAATTGTGACAAATCCCATCATACTATTTGCAACTTCTCCTTGCAGATGGGGAGCAATGCTCCTGTCAGCGTTCCTAGCAATTTCCAGTTAAATACAACCAAGGTGTACCGTGGCTTCCAATGTTGTGAGACGTGATCCGTACAAAAATGTGTTACGTCCCAGAACAAGCCTGCAGCTTGCCGAAACACTGATAGCACCAGAGCTGAGGCGCTTTCCTGTAAGCGGGTCGCTGTTTAGACATTTCCCATAAGTTCCAAGGTCTGAGATATGGCGTATGGGCGGGAATCCGTCGTACCGCTGCCTGTGGCGGGGTGAACGGGGAGTCCTCCCGGATTAATGTTCAGTAGGACGTCCTCGCCGCAAGTGAACGTCGCAAGCCCGAAAACACATCTTTGTGGCGATACGACGCACCTGAACGCTGAAGAAGCGGCTTGCGAACATGAAGCGTATGCTCTTGAATTAGCTTGTACAAATTAACTGCGTGTGTCACCAGAACATAACAACAACAGGCTGGCAGCTCTGGACTTTCCAGCGTTCACGAGACGCGTCGGCTGACCTGACGTCGTTTGTTACACCACAGTCAGTCAAACAACTACACCAACCGTCTTCCCCACACACCAGGTCACATGCCAGTCTGAGAATGCGCCCCAGCCGCCAGCCGCTGAGCAAAAACGTGCAGGCCTGTTGCTACCGGCCTGGGGGCTGCCGCGGAGAACTGGGTCACTTCACGGAGCGACCGGAACGCAGCGGCCGCACGCACAGGAACCGGCACGGAGCGGCCGCCAATCCGGCCTCGGCCTTGCCCGCCCCGCTGTCGCACGGGCACCCATAGAGCTATGGGTGTCAGCAGCTCTGCTGGCGAAAATAGGGCACCAGAGGAGCAAACCTTGCCATGTTTAGGAAAAGAACCTCATTCGGTGATTGATACCTTCGAATGTACAGCCTCGAATCTGTGCTACAGGGGCCGGTGTCGGTATGTTTTTGTTTCAGCCGCGTTTGAGTCAGCGCCTGCGTCTCTGAAAAAATGTGTCGTTTTCATGCTCATCGGAAAAGAAATGAACTTTGCCAAAGTCTTCTAAACCTATTCAAGTCAACATAACCATAGCATTTTACCATGTCAGTGGCTATACTAAAAAGGGTTTTTCTCTTTGTCTCACGCATCGTTGTCGCATCACATTGAACGATTCCCTAGGACTTGCCTTGGCTGCCAGCCATGACCTGACTGACCTGCCGAACGCCACGAACCTTGCAAGGTACATCCAATTATTATGCCAAAAGATTGCCTACCAAACTGCCTACAGCTATGCAGTTTGGCGCAGCTACGCCCAACCGTTATGGGCTTATTTTGGAAAACCTTCCGGGAGGGGAAGCAATTTACTCACCACCCCATCCGAGCGCGTGTTAATTTGCACCCTGACTTCATAAATCCCTCCACTGAAGAACTACAATTACGTGATGCTAAGCACCATCTGATTACGCACGAATTCAAACACTGAGGGCACTAGGTTGTTACCTAACACAGTCTCCTCCTTTTCCTAGACGTTACCACTACAGAAAGCTTCTGGAAAGCAAGCAAGATTTGGAGACTTGCATCCTCTTTCCGGTTTAAAGGTCACACACCGCGTGTTTATTTCGGAAACCAGACAATGACTGCGGTTACATCATCGCCATCACCATGAAAAAAACCACAGCCGCTGCCCCCCCCCCCCCCCTCGAGACCTCGGAGCTCGAAGAGCGTCTGTCCGTCCGGTGCCGCTCCTGGCGGCTCAGCGGCCATAGATGGCGTGGAGGATCGCGAGCGGCGCGATTGTATTCGTTAGACAAATAGCTACGGCAGCATTCTAATCCGTGGTGCATCGCAGTTGGCATGGCCTTGTGCGTGCCATGGTCATCAACTTGAGCTCCGGATGTATAAAAGACGACGTTCGTGGCCGACTGTGACCAGGTGCTTGCCAGCGGAATAGAATGAAACTCCTGGTGAGCTCTCCGAATGTGCCTGTCAAAACTGATAAAGTGCACGGGCGGCGCGAGCTCCCGTGGCACGCAAAGCTTGGCCAGCTTGCCGACATTGACGCTATGAGATTGTATCATGTACAGTGCTGCTTGATGTTGCAAACGGCACGCTGATCGCAAACCCGCTCGCTCTGACGACAGAATAGGCCAACTGCCCCATGCACACGAGCACGAACAGTCCAGCTGTTCAACTTGTCCTTTGTTAGCAGATTGCGCTCGTCGGCGCCTTGGTCGTGGTCACGGCCGGTGAACACGGAGGTCACGGAGGTCATGGAGGTCACGATGGCGGGTACGTATACTCAACAGGGCACGGCCGCACCGGGCACGGCCGCACCGGGCACGGCCGCACAGGGCACGGCCGCACTCCAGCTTATCAACGTGATTAGCTGGCTTTGGTCGAGATCGATGGCTGCAAAGACCCCGATCTCCTCATTAATCGGCGTGCCGTATGGATTTGGTGATTGGTTGCATTGGGTTGATGGGTTGATTGGCGTGGTTGCAAAGCGTTCGAGTGTAGCACAAGAGTCAGTGTTTGCGATAACTCATCGCGACCGCAGATGCCGGTGTTTGCTTGCATTCGCCACCGGCCGCCTGCCCCCGAATCCGAATGTGCTCTCTCGCAGCAACCGCTGAACGGTTCACCGCTGTCTGGGAATGTCTTGTCTTGTCTTAAACCAAACGCTGTTTTGACCACAGCTACTGTGCACAGGTACGCCAAGGTGCGCACTGTCATCAGGCATGAGCCGTACACGGTGGAGAAGCCGGTCCCCTACACCGTGGTAAAGCATGTGCCCGTTTATAAGCCTGTCTACAAAACGGTGGTGAAGCACGTCCCAGAGCCTTACGAGGTCGTCAAGCACGTGCCCGTGTACAAGCACGTGCCGATCATCAAACACGTGCCGATCATTAAGCACGTGCCGGTGGTTAAGCCCGTCCGCGTTGTGAAGCACCATCATCACGTGCAGAAGTTTCCAGTCCACGTACCGGTGTATGTTTACGATAAGCACAGCTATGGAGAGTATGGACATAGCAATCATGGGTACGGGCACGGGGACCACTGAAACAGAGGAGCCATAGCTAACTTATGAGCGTTGTGTGTGGTATGACAAGGTAAACGACAGCTGTGTCTGTTGGATGCTGTATTTGCTTGGAGATTGTCAAGTGTTTCCACCTCTTTTAGGCGGTACATGGCGGCGCGATTACTGCTTATGTCAATAGAAATCGTGGTTGTGCGTATTCACAAGCTTTGAAAACAGCTTAAGTAAACAATAATGAGTATTAGATAAGCGCCTTGTGTGTTGTATCGTCATAATATCGGAATATGAGTGCTAGATATGTATATTCGCGTAATTACCAATATACATCAGTCTTCAACTCACTCGTTTTTAAACACGATCAAATAAAGAAAACACACATAAACTACCAAGGACTTTGCACATTATAGAGCAAATGTCACGTTTTGGTAGTTCCACGTCAGCGATGGCTATGAAATATGGCTATGATGGTCATGGTTACGACTAGATGTTATACTGAACGGTGAGCTCCAAACGTGGTGTTCTACGAGATCATCTTGTAACGGGATGGCTGGCTGCACCAAGCACAGCTGGGGATAAGGCGAAACATACAGCGTTTGCCGGTGTGTTCTTAGTGGCAAGAAGTGCTGTGTTAAGAATCTCACCGCGACTGGTCATATGGCGTTGACAGAAGTTACTAAGCTTTGTTACCTCGTTATTTTCATTCAACACTTGGCGAACAATTACAAATAGCCCGGTTGAAAAATGATTGGTTAATATGGCTGTTACTTCATTGTTGACATTGTTTCTGAACGGGAGTGATCCACATATGCATAGGGTTTTGAAATGAAAAAGCCGTTTTGAAGATCACTCGATGCAGTTCACAGCCGTGTCGGTCTTCGACCTAAACCGCTCTAGTTCTCAGAGATCGGTTCCTCTCCAAGGAAGGAGCGCAGAGACAGCCTCTGCCATGCTCCGGGGCCGGAGTAAGGATGGCGCTCAGCTTCCAGGTGGCGACACTGTACGAGCGCATGGCACGGCCAGCGGGTGGCCGCACCTGGGACGCGATGGCGCGTGGCCCCCCGGACAGAAGAAACCCGCGCGCTCTGTAGGTTGGCCGATACGACCAACTTCGTCCTTTTTGCTATTGTGGTATGAATAAAGTCAGTCACCCGCTCTGTCTTTAACCACCCCAAGTTTATTTCTTGCGCTTCCATGGGTGTCTGCGCTCACCTAATCCCCTGACTGTTGCCATTGTCCTTACATGGGGTGAGAGCAACTGTTTAAAATTAGAGTATGGTGTACTGCGACTGATTCGGAACTTATGAACAGCACCTGGGCAAGCATATAAAACAACTTTGCAATTGCGTGCATCGATGATATCATAATTTTGTCTATCAAAAATCTTCGAAGAGCATCATAGCCCCATCGAAGTGTTTGAACTACTTAAGAAAGCATGAAGTGAAATATCATATGTATATATATGCATATATATATATATATATATATATATATATATATATATATATATATGCAAATAATACAAAATGTCATAAAATTTCACCTAGTGGCATTATATGATATCTAGCTAAATTATAAGTGGTCATTAACTTGAATTATCTCTAAGATGAAAAGGTGTTCATTCTATCATTGGCATCTGTTCACATTATCACCGCTTCATTCCAAAGTTTTCTAAAATTGCAAAAACCCTCACGGAATTAATAAGGAAGAACAACCATTTTTATTTGAACGGCACATGTCAAATCGCCTGTCAACTCTCTTCGAGCTGCTCTCATGGACGTTTCTTTGCTACTTCACTCAGGCAACTCAAAACCTATAGGGACTTTACACAAATGCGGCCAATCACGCCATTAGTGCTGTGTCCTGCAAGGCACAGAAACAAGCCAAAGGAGTGATCCAATATTTCTTACACCGGTTGAATCCCACACACCAACGGTGGACTGTCCTCAAAAAAGCTTATACAATTTTTTAAGGCATTCCAAACCCAAAAAACAACCCTCTTAGATCAAAATCCACTATAATCAATGACTACAAACCCCTAAGCATCGCTTTAACAGCGAGATGTTAAAATAAAGGATCCAGTGCTGACTCATAATTACTGACGACATGGGTGCCATATCCAGCACATTTCTAGCGAGCAAAATATTGTTCCTGACACACTCCCTTTTCAAAGCACTACCAAACGTAAATATCATATACTCCAACCAGACACCTAGGATGCTATTGGACGCCAAAGTGGAGAAATGCCTACGAGAAGAGGTACGTCATCAGGAAAAGTTTCAAGAATTTGTGAAACGTGTTAGAACACGTGATAATTTTTGGGTGGAAAACACCCCCGCTTTTCTGAAATCTTAGAAATTATATGGTGTTGGGCGATTTACTGCTTCGTATTACAGACACTCGACATTGCACCCCATTTCCTGGCTTACACGTAGCTTTCCTGATACCCTTTATATATCTCATCGAGGAAACTCATCCAAGATACCTTAGCGGTCATCTAAAATACGTGCATTCCTCAGACAAGTAAAATCCCATTTTGTGAAATTGGAGGACGTATCATATTTACTGTTCCGTATTACTATTTCCATGTTACTTCCGTATTACTATTTACTATTTCTCCTTCCGGCGATTACACGTATGGTCCCGGGTGTGTTTATTAATATGCATCTTTGCTTGTCTATTGAGGTCAATGCGGCAAATATGGGGGCGGACACAATCCATGTTGGCATCCTTCTCATAATGAAATGCAACAGGTCAATTAAAAACACATCACATGAGGCCACACGCAATCTTTTTTTTTAAAATGCGTAAGCAAACCCAATGATGATTTCATTGTTTTTGATGGCAGCATTGCTCAGCCATTATTTCTGTTGATTACACAGGCTTTATCTTAAGACGGTGAGCTTTTTTAGCGTGGCATAAACCTCATTGTAGTGTATGGAGTAGCACCCTCGATGCTTCCCCCTCCCCCCTCCAAAGAAGTCATGTCCATGATCGCCAAACGGCGTTCACCACACGGGTGTCCGAAGAATCTACGTGCATGATTGTGTGAAGTAACCGGCTATCGTGTAGCCTTTTTAGAGAATTCTTCATTCAATACGTATACCCTCACCCTTATAGGGCGGGCATGTGCCTCCATACAGTTTTTGGAAGTACTTCTCCGCTATGTTATGCAGTCGCGCTGAAATTATCAATAGCCTCAAGGGCATCTATTGCATATGCTTTGAAACCTAAAAGGTTTCCGCAGCATATCTGGTTCCTAAGAAGCGGCGGTCTCTTAAAAACAAAATATCGACCTGGGTTATTTTAGGTCAATGACCTATTCTGACCTCTATAAAGTTCATGGAAGACGTATGATGTGGTTCCTGCTATCAATAAATTCGACTGATGAGCACCAGAAACCATCTCATACAGCACGCCCTAGAGTTAAAAAAACAGGTTGGTTTTGAACTTGGTCTGACCTTTGTACCTGGCCTTACGTCAAAGTAATTTGCTCATTCAATATTGGTGTTGCCTGAGAAAGCATCTCAGAAATGTATGGCTTGGTCTCACACTCTGTTGTTGCACCAGATTGAACGATTCCCTACAAATAATTCCCTAACCTTCGGGGAGGATCAATTTGCTCCCCTCCCCTCACCCGACCGCATGTTAAATTTTGCTAACATAAATCTGGCTTCCTGTGCATTTACGTATTTATGAGATCGACAATGATATAGGCCATGGGAAGGCAGTAAAAGCAAGGGGTGGGGTGGTGTAATGAGTGTAGGCAATGAGGAGAGGGGGGGGGGGGGGTACAGGTTTTATTGCCATCTCCCACTTCGTCAAGAGTTTGCTTCAAATAGCAGGAGGTTTATGGTGTTGTGGTCCCACTGTCCTATGAGATCACTGAAAGGTTGGCATCTGGTTGTCTCTGACGACAACGCTGGCTTTTTCCTCATGGTAGCACCCCTACTGTAACAGGAAAGCCCTGGAAGTCATTCATTCGGCGGTGCTCTTTCATATGCATAGTTTGTTTGCGCTTGTGAGCATGACATTGCATGGATGCAAATATGGTACCCTATATTACTCTTTTTCCTAACATTGAATTGTGAACTTGCCTTGATGGAACCATTACCATAATCACTGTATACATTTAGTACATGGTGTGGAGGCAGACAGCCTACCTTACATGCAGTTTACATTGATAGTAGAAATCAATGTAGGTTGTGTGGTGGTAGCATAATGGCAGGAGTGCCAATTTGTTATGTACGATGATGAAAAGGTAGAACCCATGGATCATGGACAATAAATAGAGCTCAGAGAAGTTGGTTTTGTGTTACAGATATTATTTCCTAATATCTTGCCGTCATTTTTCGGCTAGACATGTTGGTTGGGGGGGATCAGCATTCAGGGGGCCAAACCCCACATAGATGTTGGGTAGTTCACCAGAAATTAATTTGAATTGATACTCCTGCATTATACATGACAAACATCACAGATATCCTCAGATTTGCAGGTTACTTGCATGCAGAGGGCAATTTTGGCTTGCTGGTTGAATTTCTACCAATGTTTGGATGTTGATAATGAAATGCCGTTCTGCTGAAGCAGTTGATGTTTTCATGCTCTGAAATGCAGATCTTTAACCCAGCATATATACAATTTATAAAAAGGATGGCAACCAACAATTTTAACCCTTACTCCGATTTGTCGGTTTTCATGACGCGGACTGTTGGGGGGGAGGGGGGGGGGGGGGCAGGGAGACGATTCCCTGAAAAAAGTAAAACCTCGCAAAAAAGAAATCAAGCAAACGATGATCTTTCTCTAATGAGATCTCGTAAATCGAAAAAAGTATCTTGTTAATTGACCCCACTAGACCAAGTTTACGGTAAAGTTTTCACGAAAACCAAACTGCATCATCTTTGCATGTTCATATGTATGAAACCATGCAGTGTAGTAACATGGAACGT